TATTTTCCTTGGCAAAGTAGAAAAAGAGGAAATACGAGAAATTGTAAAAAACTGTGGAAATAAGCGATCAACTGATTGTGAGGATTTGGACATGATGACTGTAAAGACCATAATAGAATCTGTTATTGATCCATTTACTTATATATGTAATTTGTCACTTTCTACTGGAGTCTTCCCTGATGCTATGAAAATAGCAAAAGTGGTTCCACTGTTTAAGAATGGTGATAAACATAATTTCACAAATTATAGGCCAGTGTCACTACTTCCACAGTTTTCCAAAATACTTGAAAAAGTCTTTGCATCACGGTTGGATACATTTATTGAAAAAAATATGATTTTACATAATGAACAGTATGGATTCAGGACCTAACATTCAACAACAATGGCAATAATGGATTTAACAGAGAAAATATCTGAAGTGATAGACAATAGAGAATACTTTATTAGTGTTTTTATTGACTTAACTTAGCTTTTGACGTTATCGATCATTCAAGGTTACTGCAAAAATTATATCAGTATGGAATACGAGGGGTTGCTCATCAATGGGTTGGAAGTTATTTAGATAACAGAAAGCAATATGTTCAGATAAATGGCATTACATCAGAGCTACGAAATATTGCTTATGGAGTGCCACAAGGGTCGGTCCTTGGACCAAAATTGTTCAACCTGTATATCAATGATTTGGTAAATGTGTCTGACAAACTAGGTTCTGTTTTGTTTGCAGATGATACAACATTGTTTTATTCAGGGTCTGATATAAATGAAGTAACTAATGTGATAAATATTGAACTGATAAAAGTTAAAAACTGGTTTGATGTAAATAAATTAACACTTAATCTTAAAAAAACTAATTTAATTCTATTTAATGACAAAGAAAATATAGACGTAATATTAGAAATAGATAACATGGAAATTCAAAGGGTAAAAGAAATCAAATTTTTGGGAGTAATGATTGATGAAGCTCTAAGCTGGAAATCACATATAGGCTATATAAAAGGTAAAATGGCCAAAGCCATTGCAGTATTATATAGCGTAAAGTTTCTACTTAATAGTGAAGGATTGTTATTACTATACAATGCACTGATTCTGCCATACTTAAATTATTGTGTAGAAATCTGGGGAACTGCATATAGAACGTATACACAACCTTTGTTTGTTTTGCAGAAAAGAGCAATGAGAATTATAGACAACACTCATAGTACAGCTCCATCTAACCCATTATTTATAAAATATAAAGTAATTAAATTTCATGATTTGGTCAACTGGAGAATATTGCATATAATGTATAAAGCAAATAAAGGTACATTGCCAAAGAATATTCAGCATATATTTGAAAAGAGAGATAGCAGTTATTCGTTGAAGGGATTTGAAATCTTCAAAAAACCTAAATTTAGAACAAGAATGAAGGAAATGAGCATATCTGTGAATGGTGTGAAGTTGTGGAATTGCCTGGACAGAGAATGGAAAGAGTCAAGAACTCTAAAAGTGTTCAGTCTACACATTAAATCACGTGTGTTGAGTGGATATGACAACGGACAATTGATGTGGACATAATAATTAACAAATGTGAACAGTTACGGGACTGAAAGAATTGATGAGGGACTGCACAAATATAAATTGATATTTAAGTTTAAAAAGGGGGCAGAAATAATAAGATTGTTCTTCTATCTGCTCCCTTTCATTCAAATATACATTGTGTTTTTTGAATATTGTTTAGTATCTGTTGTGTTATTTTTTTTATTGAATGAAATAAAGATAATAAAAAAAAAATAAAAAAAAAAAGTGGCCGGTGACTGCGGCTAAGCCAAGCACAGGCGCCATCTTGTTGCCGACCGGAAGCGGAAGTCCAATAGGAATGCGACGATGCAACTTAGCAATCCTCATACTAAGCAAGCATGCAGTGACAGTGGAGAGGAAAACTCCGTTTTAACAGGAAGAAACCTCTGGAGGATCCTGGCTCAGTATAAGCAGCCATCCGCCACAACTCCCTAGGATGGAGAAGACATAGCAGACACACGCATACACCAACATCAGGTCAGGTGATTGACTAAGCAATTTCCTTTTCTGAATTTCGGGCCCAAAGATGAGAACTTCAGTCTCGATTTAAAAGCAGAAAGTTTAGAGTCATCCAAATTTTTTTTATGTCTTCAAGACAAGCCTGTAATCTAAATAACCGATTAGGTTAATCAGGGTTAATGGATAAATATAACTGAGTATCATCAGCATAACAGTGGAAGTTTATTCCATGCTGTCTAATGATTTTACCAATTGGGAGCATATATATATATATATATATATATATATATATATATATATATATATATATATATATATATATAGTAAAACATATTGTTCCAAGCACTGAACCCTCTGGTACTCCACAAGTAACCCTGGAGTATGAAGATTTGTCATGTACATTTGCAAAATTACATCTATCAGATGGGTAGGATTTAAACCAGCCTAGCGCTGTTCCTTTGATCCCTACAACATGTTCTACTGTGTCAAAAGCAGCACTGAGATCTAACAAGACTAGGACACAAGATTCTTATCTGAGGCCATGAGAATATCATTTGTAACTCTCACTAATGCAGTTTCAGTGCTGTGATACGCTCTAAAACCAGATTGAAATTCCTCAAACAGAGCATTAGTGTTTAGTTAACCGTTTAGTGATCCAGAGAAGCTTTAAATGGCTGTCGTCTTGTTTTTGCCCTGGTAAGTAATGAGTGGGCTATGAAGCTCATGATAATATTGCTGCCTCTAATGCCAACGAGTATGTTTATATGCTATGATCTACATGTGCCTTTTCAAATCCAAAATATTTGGTACATTTGTTTTTTTGATCAAATGCATTACACTATTAACACAGCAGCATGCAGCACTGGCTGCCAGCATTGCATCAGCTCCTTAAATAGCTGATATAATGATGGCAAGCAGGCCGGTGGTTGAATTAGCTCCCAAGAGAAACAAATAAACGTACAGGTAAAAATACAGGCTGTCCACCTGATGGTGTCTTAATGGGAGGCACTGCATCCGGCTTCAAAAGTAATTTAGAAGCAAAGCCCATTTGTTTCTCCTGCCAGTTGGTAGAGCCGTCTTCACTGAAATGCAGACTGCTAAGCAACGCATGATTTTAATGTCCATGAGACCAACGACATGAATCCATTATTAACATCTTTTGTGCGTTCACTCTGCGTGTTGTTCCTAACTGCTTTACTTGGGTATTTTGTTTAACACAGAAAAAGCTGTTTTACCTTTTATGCTGACGTTTTGACCACTACCGCAGTCTTCTTCAGAGCTAGCCGCTGTTGGCAGCGTCACTTCCTTTTCCGTCTATCCGCGTCCAGCAGAGGTTGTGTGATCCAATGTGTAGACCCCATCGTTTCTGTTCATGGTTGTGTGTCCTTAATGCATCTTTTGTATTTTTGTTGTTTGGAGTTTATGATCCTTGTTCTGTCCCAGTTCGTTAAATGTGTCTGTTATGGCTGATTTCTTTATTGTATTTTGTGCTTCTTGTTTTGCGACTCTTGTGTGTCTTTGGCTTGTTTCTCTCACACCCTTTCTCTTTCTTCTGTTGTTCGCGTGTTGAGTTGGCGTCCGGTTAATCAGAAGTTCATCAGTATCAGTATGACCTATGTGGGGAGTCAAATACGAAAATCCCATGCAACTAGGGATGGGTACCGAATTCGGTACTTTTTAAGGTACCGAACGAATTCCACAGTACCGACCGAGCACAGATTCACTTCATTTGAAACGGTGCCTCGTTTCGGTACCCGTCCTTCACAACGAGAACTTGCCTAGACAGCTGCGCATGCGCAAGAGCGTTATGTCATCGGTCCCTGCGAGCGAGTTGTAAACAGAGCAGCATGGTAGAAAGAACGCACGCTAACGCTTGGGTCCACTTCACTAAATGTGATGGGTAACTGGGTGATGATGAAACCAGCGACAACGATCTAAGTGAGACATCCTCATCTTAATCTGCTCCGGTAGGTAAATAAAATGTTTAAGATACCGTTAGCTTGATTTGTTAGCTTCCGTTTCACTAATGGTGTGTTCGCTTTCTCCTCGGAACTCTGAATTTCCGACGAGATGAACATGAACACGCTCTAAAGTTTGGCTTCACTTTACTAAATGCGACGGGTGATTGGGTGAAGATGAAACCAGCGACAACGATCTAAGTGTGAGGCATCATCGTTTTAATCTGCTCCAGCAGCTAAATAAACTGTTTAAGATAACGTTAGCTTGATATGTTAGCTTCCATTGCCACCGTTGTTATCAGCTAATGGTGCGTTCGCTTTCTCCTCGGAAATTCTAACTTCCCAGTAGGAAAAATCAAATGAACACAGACGGCAAAGGGAATGGAGATACACAGTAACTTTAGTTCACAGTAAAGATGTTTGCTTCAGTTCAATTATCAGCTTATAAAACTACAAGGACGATGTTAAAATACAAACAGTTGAATGTTATTTATCGTGATATTCATCAAATATGGTTATATATTGAGAAAAATATATATTTAATTATAAAAGAGAACTAAAATATTAAACACTAAAGTATCGAAAACTGGTACCATTAAGTACTGGTATCGATTCCTAGGTACCGGGAATTAGTACCGAATTGATTCAAATGTCAAAGGTACCCATGCCTATCTGCGATAAAACATACATAGGAGACGCCAACTCAACACATGAACAATAGAACATGGAAAAGAGTGTGAGAAAGAAACAAGTCAAAGACTGCATTTTTTCATCTGCTACGGATTCACGGCAGTTTGAGTGCAGAAATACTCAGAAATGGAATTTTGAGCTTAGATATGTCACGTGGCGTAAGAACAATGCCTCAAGAATGTGTTTAAGACAGAAAAAACACGATTTTTATCGGAGTGGGTCTTTAAGGGGAGCTTCCTGCAGTTCCCTCATCTGCCACTGGGTGGATCCAGCTGCTCAAGTCATGACAGTTAACAGGTTATTCTACAGAAACGTGTTTGTTTGTTTTTACCCCAGGCAGCATAGGAGCCCTGTGGTGGGACCCTGTGCAGAGGCTGTTGTTTTCAGGGGCCTCGGATCACAGCATCATCATGTGGGACATCGGAGGTCGTAAGGGACGAACGCTGCTGCTGCAGGGCCATCAGTAAGTTTGTCTGCTGGTTTAAAGAATTCACTTTCACTCTGGCTTTGTTAGAGATCCAAAACCTCAAATGATCAGAGGAGTGGTAGACAAATAGGCTCTGAAGGATTATCATAATCTACATTCTCTTCAAAGAAGGTGGTTTCAGTGACGAACGTCCCAAAGCGTCAACACTTTTCTCAGTCTACATGCATATGTCAGCGTCACCCAGTCTGCCTGGTTGCTACAGACCTGTGATGCATGTCAGGACCCCCCCCCCCCCCCTGTTGTCGCGTGGCAGGATAGAACACTTCCTAGGTGCGCGATGTGTAAAGTTTGGGCCATGCAGAGGCCAGGTGGAGGGGCGTGGTTGTTAAAATGACGCTATTTTGCAGCGTGGAGCCGTGCGAACCTCGCGGACGCGTCAAGCATAAACCAACAGGCTTTATCTCCAGCTGAACAGTTTTGGTAGCCATGTTTTCCTTTCCTGTTCCCTTTTTGTCTCAAATACCTCTACAGTGTGCTCGTAGCGGTGATTAACTGGGTCTAAAGAGAAATTGTGACATTTTTAGCAGCATTAGTATTTTTCTTTATAGAATTAAAAAACCCTGATTCTATTATCTTTTTTTTTCTATACACAGAGCAGTAGAGCTAGTTTTACCTTCATGGTGACAGTTTCAGCCACTGCTGTCGGAGCGTCGCTGAGGTTGATGGCGGCGTCTGTGTTTTTCTCCCCCTGACTTAGGGAGCAACGCTCAGACGAAGGCGACAGCACTAGCTCAAACTGTCACCAAGAAGGTAAAAACAAGCTCAACACAGGCCAGACGTAACCAAGACCCCGAGTTGCATTCTGAACCTTTACCACTAGATGGCACTATAGCACAGATGTACTAATGCTTCCTTTCGAGGTAAAAATGCTTATTTTGGTGTTTGGGCTTTTAAATCTGGTTTCAATGATTGTTTTATTGTTGTTCTGTTATTTCTACATCTTCACCCTGTGATGACTCCGTGCTTTACTGAAAGGAACAAAAGGTCACTGATTAAGCTGTGTTATCGTTTTAATAAGCTAATATTTTAAATAATCTATGAAAAAGATGAGCAGTTTTTACTGTGTATCAGAAAGACCCAATGGAGATGTCAACATGCATTTATTACTAAATAATTGTCTAAAACCACAGAAAAGAAGCAGTTCTCTGCTGCTTTGAATTGGAGTTAGGATTTTATTGTGACCGAGACCTAGTGATCTGCACACACCCAGAATTTCGAGCTGCACAAGTCTGAGAAGGTAAACTGTAACTTGTTTTACCCCCTGAGCGAGCGCGTTCAGGCCCTGCGGTATCTCCAGTTCACCAGGCAGCTGGTGTCGTGTTCGGCCGACGGAGGCATCGCCGTATGGAACATGGACACGCAGAGGGAAGAGGTTTGTCACAGTTGCTGCAGCAACGCAGCGCCGAGTCGGTGCGTTTGATGTTAAACTTGACCGGTCTCTGCAGGCGCCTCAGTGGCTGGACAGCGACTCGTGTCAGAAGTGTGAGCAGCCTTTCTTCTGGAATATCAAGCAGATGTGGGACACAAAGACCTTAGGACTCAGACAGGTAGCAGAGGCAGACCAAGGCTCTCTTTGGCTCCTATTGCAATTCTCCATATAAATGTGTGTGTGTGTGTGTGTGTGTGTGTGTGTGTGTGTGTGTGTGTGTGTGTGTGTGTGTGTGTGTGTGTGTGTGTGTGTGTGTGTGTGTGTGTGTGTGTGTGTGTGTGTGTGTGTGTGTGTGTGTGTGTGTGTGTTCAGCATCACTGCAGGAAGTGTGGTAAGGCTGTATGTGGGAAATGTAGCTCCAAACGCTCCACCTTCCCGATCATGGGCTTCGAGTTCCCTGTACGTGTGTGTGATGCCTGTTTTGACACCATCAAAGAAGAAGAGTAAGCATCAGTCTCTTCTAAACAACCTAGCCACACACGTTCACCACAAGGGCAGCATTGTAACACACTGCGCGGGCGTGTGTGCCTCTCTCTCTCTCTTAGTCGAACGCCGCTGGCCACGTTCCACGAGGGGAAACACAACATCGCCCACATGGACATGGACCCATCCAGAGGCCTGATGGTCACCTGTGGAAGCGACCGGATTGTTAAGGTCAACAACACGCCTCTGATCCCAGATCAGTCCTGCATGTGACTTTGTTTCAGAACGTAACCAAATCTTAATCTTAATAAAAATAATTTATATATATATTAAACAGTAATTGCACACTTTCAGCACACCTATAAACTTATTTTCTCTTCTCAAGCATCAGTGTGTGTCGCCTGTATGCTATATTAAGCAGAAAAATGTTATCATTACAACCAATAATTTATAAATCATGCAGACTAACAAGTCTGCCCACTGTGCTAGTGCACCAGTGAAGTTCTCATTACAAGTTTGTTCCGAACTGTGCAGGAAACCGGTAAATGTTTCTGTTGGACCAAAACTTCCTGAAATGATTTTTTTTTCCATGCAAAGTTTGTGTTTTTATTTGTTTCTTTGCTAAACTTGAACCTTTGTTCCCGTTTCTCAGTGGAAGTCTGAAGCATGGAGGGTTAGGAGAGCTGCAAACCTGATGAGTCTGCTTCATGAGTCCTGACCGAGGTGATGTTTGTCTCCACAGATCTGGGATATGACACAGGTGGTTGGCCGTAGCTTAGCAACAGGCTTTTCCCCGCGCTGATTGGACCAGCCCACTACATGGCAACCCCACTCCCACCTCTTCCAGTGTCATGGAAACCCTCTGTACAGTCCTCCCCCGCATCACGCCCAGGTCCAGCGTGACGGCCAGGCCTGTTGTCACTGTGTGTGTGTGTGTGTGTGTGTGTACATGGACACACACATCTGTCTACATCCCTTTTGCTTCTCATAACAAACATAACTAAGTGAAAGTCTTACAGAGTTTGACTGATTTAGGCATTTTGCTCTGATCTCAAACTGAACCCTAAGCACAATGAGGTGTGTGTGTGTGTGTGTGTGTGTGTGCGTGTGTGAGCATGTGTGTACTTGTGCGTGTATATTGTCTTGCTTTCTCCCATGGGAGGAATGGTATTGATATTAGTGTTTACACAGAGTATATCCAGCGGTTCTTCAGACTAAGGTTTTTTATTACCCTGCACTGTAAAACTACAGCTCACCATTACTGACCTTCATTTCTGTAAATATAAATATGTGCTCCTCCTGCCCCCCCCCCCCACTGTGGCTCACTCACAGCGTCACACTCGCTTGGATGAAATAAATCACCTGCTTCGTGTGTAAAGGAGACCCCCTCCCCTCTGAAGTGTGCTTCTGTGTAAAAGTCATGAGTAATAACTCTTTTTGTGGTCAGCAGCTTGAATGACCTCAGTTTGGAGAAATAAGGGCCAAGTCCTTCTGGACTGATGAGCTAACAGCTAGTCTGACCTCAGCTAAGACCAGCGCTTCTGTCTTAGCGTGATCTCAGGTCAGTGTGACGTCATCTTATGAATGTTTACACTCCTGCCAACTTGAAATGACAGGATTATTAATATGTGCTTATTTAGAAGTGTAAAAAAAAACCCGCAGCAGGTAAACTGGGCCTTTGGGGAGATGTTTCTGCTGAAATAACATTTGTAATTCAGGAGTTTGGAGCTGTTTTAATGAGGCAGAATTACATTTGAGCTGTTCTCAGACCTGCTTTTTGCTCACCTGTGCTGAAGGACGTAACCTTCATTCACGAGGCCAGTCAGGAGCTTAGCTGTGGTGTTGGATAGTAATCACTGCTCACGTTTACACAGAAACCCCCTTTACCTTCTTGTTCACTAGCTGGCCTTAACTCACCTACTCAGGAGGTCGTCTCTGGGATCGGCTCGGATGATGTCGGTCCTGTTGTTAATGTGGAATCACTGCAGAGGCATCTAGTAACTGTGAGGTTCATTAAACTAGATCCGTAACAGGGAATGAGATCATTAAAACAGTTGGAACAATAAACAAATGTAATAAAAGCCCCCCCGATGTGAAGGAGATGAATGTTGCTGCCACGTTGTTTCGATGCACTCGCAGTGACTCCGCCTCCACCTCATCATCTGGACTGAGACGAGGGGAAATTGGGATGCGTTACCATAGTAACCATCACAGACAGCAGCGGCCGTTCTGAGGTGTTGCTCATGAATCTGCATTCTGAGATGGCGACTGTAGTTTGTTGAAGCATCAAGAGAAATTTCATGAGCAAATAAAACATTAGTTGGGTCGTCAGGATAAAGAAGGATCAATAATACTTGATTTGCGACTTTAATTTGGTTTCCTGACCCCTAAAAGTGTCGGCAGGGTCCTCCTCCTAACCGTAGCTCTAACCGCTCGTGTTTGTGGTGTCCGTGTTCCCGCCAAGGCCTTAAAGGGGACACGCTACCGGAGCCTTCCACTCTCATCACTGCGCTTTACATTCTGCTGTCTCCTCCTCCTGCTTCACTCTTCTGTGCATCAAGGCAGTCTGAGCATCCCCGCCGGCACAAGTCGTAGTTTTCTGTAGGATTAGAAACCTTTTGTATGATTTAGATAACGTAGCGCTCCTGTAAATAACAGCTGAAATCATCGGAGCTTGCCTTATTGTTAGAGGGAATTATTGATTTTTGAAATGTAGTCACATTCCAGTTCCTGGATCACGTCTATAGAAGTAGAATATGTTGATGTCACTGTGCCCATGTAGAGCTGATTGCTGTTGATTTGGAACATGCTGCATCTTTTTGGAGTAAATTCTGTTGACGAGCTGAAACGGTGTCATTTAAACATGGACTGGTACTGACTGGTTAATAAAGTCGACGCAGAACCGTGTCTGTTGTGTTGGAGGTGGGACAGGAAGCCGATGGCAACCATTAAACCTCGGTGACACGAATGGACCTACGGTGCTTGTTTACGAATCCCTTCTGTTTTTGTCCCTGAAATGTTTCAGACGCTTGTCTGAGGCAACGATGACCTGAGTCTTCACATGATGATCTCTTAATGTAAGGCACAAGTCTAACCAAACCAACCTGGTTCTGTGTGAACAAGTTACTCACCCACTTGTTAAATGAGGAATAAACGGTGACAAACCACAATCTTTATAAAGCGGAGACCCGTAGGGTTAAGAATAGAACCTGTCTGATGACAAGAAGGCTAAAAGATCTCAAAGCAGCACATCTTGTCCTTTTCTATAAAAACTAGAGAGCTGAAGAACCCAGAGGTCAAAGGCCAAAACAACTGAAAGTCCTGTCAGTTCCTAATAACACTGTCGACTGTTCCATCTGGAGTCAGACTTAAGGGTCAGTCAGACACAGTGGTGGTAGTGTGATGGTCTGGGGCGGTGCTTCTGGACTGGATCACCTGCTGTAACTGATGGAACCATGAATGCTGCTGTCCAGCAGAACGTCCTGACCTTAAACAGGCAGGAGAACCCTCTGATGGGGCTGACTTCAGACAGTTCCTTAGAGAAGAGCAGGACTAAACTCCTCCACAGAGACGCATTGGACTAAAGAAAACAACCAGTTGGGAGACAAATATTTGTTCACGTGTCCATGTTGGGAAGCCTCTCTTTCCAGCAGATACTAGGCTGATTAAATGGAAACCATCACGGTACTAGATGTGTTAGACTTGCCTTAAAGGTGACAGATATAAGTTGTTGTCTAAAGGTTTAACTTAAATCCTACGTTTGTGTGAACATGGAGCACAGCAGCGTCTTCAGGGTTGCGTGCTGCAAGAGTTAAAATGGTTTAGATAAACCAGTCTGATGGGTACTGGAAGTCTCGTGTTACCATTTCTTCCTGTTTAAGTTCAGCGCCGCGCAAACCCTTCAGATGAACTGGATTTGTTCTTGTTTTCCAAATAAATGAACAGGACATGCTGACATAAACCATGAGTTCCATTTGAATAGAAATGACAATGAACTTTTGTTTTCAGCTAAATAAACAAAACTAACACATTTTCCAGTCATAAGAAGTTCTTCAAGGGTTAGGGTGAGATTTCACCTCATGATTCCTGGATTGCCCCCTGAGACGGGGCTGGATGCTGTCCTGGTTTGGTTTGTTAGGTAAAATACAAAAAAATGACGATGTAGCTGATGAATGGTTAAACTTTGTGCTCTTTAAACATTCCATTATTTAGTCACACCTTCTGAATCACATTTTCGTCCTTCTGAAGGCAGAGCACATCTAGTTTGTTCATTTTAGAAAGTCAGTGGGTAAAGATGGCAGAACGAGGGCAAAACACTCCAAAAAGCCTTGATGGTTTTCAGTCCTGACCATCACATGGTCCGTTGAACAGCATCCTTAAGCATAAACTATCCAGACATTTATATATTTTTGGAGACTCAGGCCCTGTCCACACGTAGCCGGGGATCTGCCAAAACGTAGATATTTTTCTACGTTTTGGCCTGTCATCCACACGAAAACGGGAGTTTTTTCACACGAAAACGGATCTTTTTAAAAACTCCGGTCGAAGTGAAGATCTGCGTTTTCTCCGTTTTGGGTGTCTGCGTGTGGACGGACAAAACCGGAGTTTTAAGGTCCACAGCGTCACTTTCCGCGACAAAAAAATGCTTACATCACATGTGCGACCTGTGTTTACACTAGCCGGCATCATGGAAGCCCTCAGAGCTGCGCTCTGTCACTACCCGATCCATCAATTGTCCAAGCGCTTTTTGCTTGTTTGTTTTTGCAAGCGGAGCTCCTTGCGGAAGACCACAGACGAAGGATGAGGTTAAGAACGGGGGAAGTACTGCCGCCTACAGGTCTGGCATGTCCTTAACAACGTATTTATCCGGGTACGTGTGGACAGAGTTTGTTTTTAAAACGCGGTGGTGTGGATGCAAGCTTTTGGAGGGGCGGATATTCGTTTTTAAAAAACCCCGGCTATGTGTGGACTAGGCCTCAGACACCCATGGCAGCTTTTCGCTGCCTTTATAGCAGCCCTCTTTGGTTTTGTTTGTGTAAGGTAGTTTATTAGCTGTTATCAACGTGTTTTGAATTGTCTGTGAAAACATTTGTTTGGTGTTTATCCGGGGCTTCAGTGGAAAACAAAGACATTTCCAGACGAGATCAGACGTTTGAGCGGTGCTGCATTTGGACTGAGCTAATGTGCAACAGTGGATCAGGACTCATTCTGACCCAAAGCATCATAGAACCTCATCACAAAGTGCTGTCGGATCTGCAGGGTCATTAGTGATGCTACAGGAGTCGGAACGTTTCCTCTCACTGGACGTCCAAGTCTCTTCCAGTCATTATGTCTTATCGGGGGGGGGGGGGGGGCTGCTGTTTGCAGGAAGAGCTCAACCAATAGATCTTCAGATTGTCCACATGTCCCAGGAAGTAAGCAGTTGGTTCCTTTTCTGCACAGTTACCGTAGAGGTTCCGTGACACAACAAGCCCCAGGATGAGTAAATAAGTCTTAAAAAACGACTCGTGTTCTCCTTCTGGCACATTATCTCATGCCTGTTTTATTGGAACTGCTTGTTAATGTAACCTGCCCCCCCAACAAGATTGTTATTATATATCTGCAAAAAACTGTATTTTTAAAAGTTTTTGTTGACGTTACAGGACCAACCTAACGCTCTGTGTTCTGAAACCAGAGCACAGGGAGGAAGAATGATGCCTAATAAAATAATTTCATATGCACACCTGACTACAGTGTGTTTGTTACCAGACTAGCGACACACAGAGCAAACCTTACATATATAGTTTTTATTTTCATTAGATGAACTCAGGAGTTTGTTACAGCCAGCCAGAGGTTTTCCTAAAGGCGCCGAGCAGATATCGCGTCACAAACGTGGATTTGTTGCACATGTCGAGTGATGCTGCAGAGAGAACGGCTCGCCTCTAGTCTGGGTTCAGCCTGTACCGAACAGTAGCTACACAACAAAACAGCACACACACACACACACACACGGGGGTTACATACACGAATGCACAACACTTGAAACAACTGTGAGTCAAAAGCACAGAGGTGACGCTGAACCTGAGACCGGTGTAGACAATAACTACTCTGGTCTCTTCAGATTCCCATCTGATTGGACCTGTTGATGAAGTCGGTTGTACCTTCTCTCCATCAGCAGCATCACTGTCAAACACTTGCACAGTAAAATGTCTAGTTCATAATAAGTTAAGCTCACTGCTAGCTAAAAACGTTACCAACCTGTAAATCCTCTAGCTACAGCTACCTTTATTTGCTGTTTCCCACCCCCTCGGCTCACAAGATCTCTGTCCTGATGAAGACTGACCACCTCATCCAAGGGTACATCTCACAGTGCTTGGGGGGGGGGGGGGGGGGGGGGGGGTTAAAGTACAGAAATCAGCCCCGGTCATTAGAAAGTGAAGTGTTAGTGATGATGCTCCCGTGTGGCGCCGGCTCAGTGTGGCTGAAACGTCTTGGCCAAGTCGTCCAGCAGTGACATCAACTTCTGCTCCTCCAGGGGGGAGCTGTGGGTCCAGGCCAGCGGCAGGTGGGTGGGGGCCAGCTTTCTGTCTGTACATACACACAGTTCAACATGAAGGTAGTTCATGATGTCAGTGTTGATCTGTTGTTATTCACCACTGTGGTGTCTGAAGAGAGCTGACTCAGTCCAGCATCGATGCAGCGATGTCACATTTCCAACAGCTGGAAAGTGCTCCATCAGTATCGATCTGCAGTGACTCGCGGGCTACGTCAGCCGCATGTTTCTGAAACACTCCACACGCAGATGTTGATAAAATTGAATGTTGGCTGGAATGTTCTCACTTGTATGTAAAAACTGAATGTTCAGGTTGGTCATGTGTTTTGGGATCTAACACACGACTGGTCAGTCTGAAGCAACCATCGTGTCAAAAGATGTTTATTATCTTACTGTTTACTTGACAGAATAGCTCACTCCATTAACTTAAATAACAAATAAACAGAGTCTCTGCTTGTGATGGAAGGCGAAGCCAACAACACCTCATCTGCAGGCGCTGCCATATTGTGTTTTGAATCCAGAGTCTGACCTCTGGACGTGGGCAGAAAGTTCTGTCTACTCCAATAATAACATTAATTAAGCATGTGAACAGCTAAAAATAATTAAACATATATAAACATATTATCAGAGGTGAAACTTTAAGTCCCATTTGTTTATTTGGAGGTGGTGAGGCTTCAGGATTAAACTGCAGCCAACCACCAGAGGGCGCATCAGTTTCTTCTACATAATAAAAACTAGCTTCACCTGAACATCTTATCTCTTACTTGTGAGCTGTCACTTTACAGTTCGTCCCAGAGGACCACTCTAAGTTTTGTCTCAGTGAATCATTAACTGTGACGTGAAGCTAAAGGGCAGATTTTTAATGATGTATCTGATTTATGTTCAAAAAGCAACATCAGTTACTTAGATTTGTGGATTGATGCAGAAAGATACTAATTGTTTGCGTGAACCACATTTTAAACATTACACGTAATAAACAAACATGTAAATACAAAGGTTAAAAAGTCTAAACCGTTTGAATTCAGATTTTTTTTTGGATGAATTCACAATAAAATCCACTGTTGTTACATTTTTGGGCAACAGAAATGAAATCAAAGCAAACACAGGACTCTGAATTTCTAAGTGACTCTGATTGTGAAAAATTACGTGCTACAATATTTCATGAAGGTCACTTTTCCCCACATTTAATTTGGAAATTACAGTCTAATGTCCAAATGTTTCAGAATAAAATCTGAATCTAAAGGTTTAAACCGAAATAAGATTATTTTTTTAACAAAAAAAGTAGCCTTTCAAAATAAGAGCTCTTTTATTTGATAAGTAGACCCCTTAATTGTTAGTAAACAAAGCACATGCAGCTTGCAAGCAGAAACAAGATCCGGCTTTGTCCGGTTTCTTTCTGTTGTAGTTGCGTTGTTGTTGGCTAGCGATGTTGCTGGTGTATAACAGTGGCAATAAAACTTGATACGCGGCGAAAATGACAGTCAATGGGACGCGTCTTAACGGTGCGTATGCGTTACAGCCAGGTGAGTGGCTCAACGATGACTATAAAAGAGCCCAAACTTCAGAGGCCGGTGTCGGTACCGGATCGACTCGGGGTCCTTCGACTGCCGATGACGTCACATTACTGCAACTCTACTCGGCTTTCACACACACGTTTTGGAAAGACATCAGCAGTTTTGTTCATAGATTCTTGTTTGTTAACACCTAAATGTTTTCTTTATAATTGTAATTTGTTAATAAAACACCATATTATCTTTGTTTTGTAAAGAATGTGAAACTGCATAAAACCAACATTGGACTGACAACAAGTAGAACAGTTCTTATATGTGAAGCCACATCTGTTTGTATTAATGTGGAGTTCGTCTGTATATTTCCTTAGTTGTTATCTAAATACATTCTTTAACTCAAAACGTTGCTTGGTGTCTTTCAATAAAGTTCTTATATTTTATTTTGCCCCGTTTCATCAACATCAAGAGATTTTGAAGGTCACTGACTATCATTTGCTTATATTTTACATTTCCTTTAGAAATTCAAACATATTTTCTCCAAAAAGTGTTGATGTTTGGACTACAGGACTACAACCGCTAAGACTACGATCGCAGATTTGTTCTGACCAATCAAAATCATAACGTGATAACGTCACTTCCGTAAGCTTCATGTTCAGCCAATCAGCTACTTTGACGTCATCGGCAGTCGAAGGACCCCGAGCCGATCCCGTACCGACACCGGACCTCCATGCTTACTTGGTCAACACGCCAGGCCTTTGTTCCCGGGAGTGCCTGAAGTCCTACAAAACCCTGGATGCCTACAGCTACAGTATGTAACGGACAACCGTGTTCAGGACATACTATTGCAACATTATAATATTGAAATGTGCGATTCATTTTCATGCTGGATGCTGCTGAGTAAACTGTCTGTAGCACGGAGCTGCCGTTCAGTGGGAACGGGAGAAGGGAGACACTGTACTACCTGGCACCACAACCAGCCCAGTGCAGCTGCAATGGACATGGGCCAAATCCTTACGGCGCATCTTTTTCTGTTTGAGAACCGAAATCAACAATTTTTTTCCATCATAGTAAACAAAAGGGTTTATTTATAGAGCATACCTTGATAGAAGCGTCCACTGGGGTTTGTGGTAGCAGCTTCAGACAGAGCGAGCCACACCACCGTGTCTGCCCCCTGCTCTGGGGTCCGCAGACTTTCCTTCATGGAGCGGTGAAAGTCGGGCATGGCGTTGGCCACCGCTGAGACAAATAAGTATCACACAGGGAACAAGCATGAATAAAGACACGTGTGAGGACGAGGTACTGTGGAAGGCGTGACGTTGGCATTAACCTGGAGTGTCCACCCAACCGGGATGCATAACGGAGAAGTGGACGGCAGTGTGAGTTTTTGCCATTTGCTCTGTCATCACCACCTGCTGCCTCTGAATCACACACACACACGCACGCATGCACACACACACACACACACACACACACACACACACACACACACACACACACACACACACACACACACACACACACACACGTAAGCACTTTTTAAAAAAGTGAACTGCAGGTTGTTTTGGAAGAATCTGTGTTACTATAAAGAGAATGTTGGAGAGACATAAATTAAACACATGATGCATGTCCTCATCAACATGGCTAATAATATCAGCCACAATATCAATCACTGATTACCGATAAATGTAAATTTCGGAATGGTGATTGGATTGTAACATCAAGTGAAGTCAGAGCTCAGAAAAATGTCTGTTTTATGTATAAACTTCAAAGTGAAAAGAAAACCCAAATCAAAAGAAAGGTTACACTTACTGACAGTGACTCATTAGGGTCACCATAGTAACCACACACCCATGTCTGTCAGTCCCAGGCAGCAGACAGTAACTATTAAGCCCTTTTCAGATAGACATTCTGGAACATTTGCGGACAATTCAATCCATTTTTTAACCGGAACTGTGTTTTCAGACACACCACTTTTGTACCGGAACTTGTCCTTTCGGCTGCGTTCACACAGCAGGGAAAAGTTCCAGATGTCTGGCGGCGGCGGTGGGGGGGTGGGGGGGAATCGGACTTATGTGAAGAAGAAGAAGAAGAAAATATAATTTCTATAGCGCCTCTCAAGATAAAAATCACGAGGCGCTTAAGCATAATTCTGCGCACACGAAGACGCATAAGAGACCTGAATGATGAAGCTCAATGGTTAAAGGAATCACTGAAGCGGTGTGAAGCGCTCCGTCGCGCGTCTGGACGGTACCGTAGGAGGCGAGCTGCCGTGGTTTGCCGCATGCTACAGCAGCGGGCTATCTAGGTGCGCACAGCGTCCCCCGGTCCCCTCCTCCTCCCCCTCCCTTTTGTCCGGAACTTTACCTCACCAGTCTGAAGCAGCCACCCTGTCCGTAACAAGTCCGGACCTGTTACTAGGGGCTTCGTCCGGATAAATTCCGGAACACGTTATCCGGATGTTTGTATTCAGACACAAAGGTCTTACGGACAGATTCCGGAACATTTCCGATTTTCATGGCCTGTCTGAAGGGGGCTTTAGAGTAAGCCTCAGACAAATGGCTTATTTATAAAAACTAAAGTCATATCGGAGAGCAGAAGGCTCGGGTGGTTGCGTATTGTTTTAAAAGTATTTTTACTGTGTTTAGTGCTGGGAGAATGACAAGTTAAAATAACACTTCTCTTCTAGTTTTGAAAACATTTTGAGATGAAAGATAACTGAAGTCTTTGAACGCTGTTGTGAGCACAGAGGATTTAACAGGGAAAACAGTTTTCAACCCTTATCTGAACCCGCTTGTCTTTGTAGGGTCGCAAGGGGCTGGTGCCTATCTCCAGCAGTCAGCAGGCAAACAGGCGGGGTACGACAGGTCGCCAGTCCATCGGAGGGGAACACAGAGACACACAGGACAAACACACAAGCACACACACACACACACACCTAAGGACAATTTAGGTGACCAAATAACCTCACAGTCATATTCTTGGACTGTGGGAGGAAGCTGGGCCACCCAGAGAGAACCAACGCATGCACAGGGAGAACATGCAACCCCCACGCAGAAAGACCCCAGGCCGGGATGTGAACCGAGGACCTTCTTGCTGCAAGGACACAGTGCTAACCACTGCGCCACTGTGCAGCCCTTTGAAAATGTATTTTTATTTTCAAATATTGTGCAAACAGATGAATGTGATCCCTTTCTGGGGAGGAGGTGTGACTCTACCAATGTTAAATTATTTGGCATTGTTTGCACATTAAACCTGGGATTTGCTTTTGCTTTGGGAAAGGACTTTGTTGTTTATCTGTTAAGACCTGCAGATCACTCTGAGAAAACACTCATCACTCCTTCCCTGCTGTGTTTCATGGCTAATTATTCAGATCACTGTGGGAATGTCTGCTCCAGCATATACCTGAGTGCATTTGAATCTGTGAAGAAGCAGATAGCAAGAGGAACAACGGAGCCACCTTCACCTGTGCTGCTCATTGTTAGTGAATGTGCTGCAAGGTGTGGCACAGATGCTCCAGAAAAGTAACAATACATTTATCCTGCATGTATTTTAAATCTTCTCCAGTTTGTCAAAAGCAGACGTGATGCTCAGCTCTTACTTTGTGCTGGGCGTAGACCATGGTGCTGTCAAAGCGACCCCGCTCGGACTGCAGGTTTCCTATCCTGAGTTTCTGCACCAACATCCCTCCTGATGTCACCGAGATCTGAACACAGAGCACAGAAAAGATGCTAGAGTGTGTGTGTGTGTGTGTGTGTGTGTGTGTGTGTGTGAACTGAGTCACAAGCATAAAAAAGATTTAACTGCCATTTATTTATCTTCTTTAAATACGTAATATCAAGGCGTAATAAACAAGAACTCTCTTTTAGGTTCTTCTTCATAAAATTGTGCAGATCAACAGATCATTTGGTAACTTCAGCTACATCAGCTGTAATCTGCCAGAATGTTTCTCGAGCATTGTAAGTGTTTACTGGTTAATAAAGCCTTACGTGAGACTCACCACTCTGGGATCTGGACTCTTCTCCAGCAGGGGGATCAGACTCTTGGTGAGAATGTAAACCCCTACAAAGGAACAGAATTGTTTGGTGATTGTCTCCATCGTCTCCAGACCTGCTGCCCGGTTCTTGACTCACCCAGAACGTTGACAGCAAAACTCTTCTCCAGTCCCTCAGCGTTCACATCTCTCTGACTCATGATGGCTCCTGCATTGTTGATCTGCACAGATTCAAAATGGTTTCCATCAACCTTGGTTACAGAAAAGAGAGAACTGACATCATGATGCATTGTGTGGGTTCTCTATTTCACACCAGTGATTCAGGTGTGTCACAGGTGTTTCCTGCTGCTGAGTCTGACTCTTACCAGAACATTCAGAGTCTTGTACTTCCTCTTAAAGGCCTCAGCAAACTCCCAGACCTTCCTTGTCTCAGACAAGTCCAGGATGTGGACGTAGACCTCCTGAGACCAGAAGGATCATTAACAGTAACAAAGACAGTCACATATTCAGAGGATTAAACACAAATAAATCTGTACTTTATTTCCCGTCTCTTTGACAATATCCGCCCTGGCCTCCTCAGCTTTGTCCTTGTTCCTGCATACCATGTGGATCGTTCCACCTGTGATAAAGAACAGGTAATAAAACCATATGTTTGCAGCATTATTCTGAAGAAAATCTCTGGAGGAAATACTGGGAAGGGACTTTGCTGCTTTTGCTTTTGTTTTCCTGACCTTTTTCATTAGAATTTCTCAGAATCAAGCTGAAAAGCTTTTAAAGAGAAAACTGAAAGTTAGAGACTCCCAGGAACCAATGTTTAGAGAAACATAATAGAAACTCCTTCAGAGCATTTTTTTTACACATGCATAAATTATTTAGGCTTAGAGTCATGGAACCTTATCATGCCTTTTAAAACATGTTAAAGTGTTACAAGAGGAGGTAAATGCATGAATTTGAAGTCCATGTTTGGAGACCAACCTTCACAGTTTGGAGGCTCACGCTGGTGGAGACACCATTAGTTCTAGTAACACCTGGGCTCCCAAGGTCTGTTCTGACAGGATGGACGTTACAGGACCTTTAAGGATTCCAGTTGGATGATTGGAGGATTATTTAGGAGGATTGGAATGAACACACTGATTTCAGTGGTGAAGGGTTAAAGGTATTGGCTCGGCATTAAAATTGTAGAAATGCAAAATAACTACACTTTGCAATCTATATAAACATGTACTGGGCTCAGTTTTTTATTTTGTTAAGGGCTTTTGTCATAAATCATTACAGAAAATCCAAATCCTCTCCTCCAGACACTGAAGAACTGTGTTTCGCATACGTCACTCCAGCACGTAAAACAAGCTAGCTGCTGATGCTAGTATTGTGAATCACTGTTATTTGTTTACTTTCATGCTCCTCATTACTCCGTAAAAATGCGTTTACAGCTGCAGCAAAAGGTCTGAGCCATGTCTCCGTGTCCTACACGCGTTTTTAAATAACAGGTCTGATCTAAAATAATAACCTACATCTATAAATCCATCTGCCCTGGGTGTGTGACTGAGTTGAAGGTGATCTGAACTGTATCAGATGTATAAATATTACATGTGTATAACTTGTTGTTTTATACAGGTAAAAACGTGTAGTGGAGATAAATCTACCTACATTTTACTTTGTTTTCTTGTTTTTATTTAACTATTTTCCTGTCCTGTCTGTCTCTCATCTTCCTGCATCTCCTCTAAACTCTCCAGAAAATCTGCTGCCTGGATTCTTACCTTTTCACCTCATCAGTTACTTTTGAGCAGACCAAAGGGATCTCCTGACCAAAAAGCGGAGAGCGCATTTCGATGCTGCGTCAGTGAGGTGAAATCACCGCAGCAAAGGTGATGAGCTCCACAGTAGCAGAGCGCTTCAGGCACAAATAAGACAGAAAGTAGAGAACATGTACGGACATGAACGATCGTGTGTTAATTATAGTTTTTTGGTTGCGCCACTTTCAGAATGGACCGTGCGCTGGAAGCAGCTGCCTGGAGCGCTGTGCCGCTCTCTGTGCTCTCTGCTCAAAAGAGTCCATGAATGATGTAATATAGGTAGAAACATTTTTCCCGGCTCTCCCTGGATGTGTAGGATATCCAGCTCCCCCATAATTTGATTCCTGCTCCTGGATGAAAAACCGGACATTTTCATCAATACAATTTGCCCCCCGGACGCCCGGACAGAGAGTGAAAAGTGAACATGTCCGGGGAAAAGAGGACGTACGGTCACCCTAGTTTAATAGAAAGCGGGAGATTACAGATACAGTATTTTGCTCGTGCCCTTGCTGCCCTGGGCCTGGGCCCTTTAGAGTTCGTGGACCCCTGGGCAATTGCCCAGTTGCCCATATGGTTAATCTGGCCTTGCAGACAGGCTGGAGTTGGTACAGCATAGTTTATCAAAATGAACACACTCCAAAACTAGTAAACACACACTGACTGGATAACATGACCTCTCTACCCTAAAACTAGACACTCCACACTGAGCTGAGGCAGCACCTAGCGTCTAACGCCCTTTGGTTGTGTCAGAGGTCCAGATTTATAAAGAAGAGCCTTTTTAGAAGCTTTGCTGAGAAAGGCCACTTTTACTCCAAACACTGCGGTTAGGTATTTTAAAATGAAATATCTACAATAAGCATTTCAAATAGTAATTTTTGGACAGCACTTTACTCTTTAAAATGTACAAACCTGGAACTGTAAATTAAAAGTCAAACTGATTTCATCAAAACAAAACCAAGATCCAAATCATCTCTTATGTGCAGCAACTGGGATCTATAACCTCTCAACTATTTATCTGTCTCATGATAAACATTTGTAGAAAAGTAAAAACAAATATTTCTTTGAAGGCCATCTGAAAAACCAAAAAATGACAAAGATCAGAAGACCAGGTCCATCTTCTGTCTTCCAATTAGCAATACTTTTTTCTTTTTACTCATTTTTATGCAATATGTTGTTTTTATAACTACTCTGGTTTTTATGTGCAGTTCAGCACCTTGGGCCTCTGCTAAGGTGGATAGAGGGTGCATTATAAATAAATAAATAAATAAATAAAATGAAATTTAATTGAAACTGAAGACTGCATGTTGACTGGAGCCTCTGCAGATTTAGACCCATGAATCTCCTTGTCTGATTCATAAAAAGCAATTTCTGAAGTCAACATAGAGATGAAAAACAATGAAGAAGTACCATACCATTCCCCAGGATGCAGGACAGTGTGTCTTGATGACCAGGGTTGGGAAACACTGCCATACCCTTCTATACCATACCATACCATACCATACCATACCATACCATACCATACCATACCATTATACCCAGGGTTGGACAGGGACAAAAATTCAGCTTGGGCATTTTGACTGGAGACCGGCCCATCACCTGTTTTTTTTTTTGGAAAAGACAATAAGCCTTACGCTGTTTCTGACACATGTCACGGCATGTGGGCGAGGTGAGCGGAGGTGATGCGAGGACCCAAACGCGGGGAGGAAGACAAGCAGACAGGTAGGACGTTTAACATGAACTTTAATGAAAAACACGCAGGACACTGAAACAATGGACCGACACAAGACACAGAACAGAGAGGGCTTAAATACACGAGGGCCGGGAGCTAAGGTGATTGGGAAACGAGAGGCAGGTGGGAGCAATTAACGAGACACAAGGATGAACCAAAATAGGGAGACAGGACAGGGTGTGTCAGTACCCCCCCCCCCCCCCCCCAAAGGGCGGATCCCAGACGCCCACAGGGACACAGAGCAGAGCTGGAGGAGGGGAACCCGGAGGGACCGATGAAGAGGAGGCAGGGACCAGCAGAGTCCGGGGGCCTGCGCCTGGGGCAGAGGAGGAGGAGGCGACGGGCTCTTGGAGGCCTGCGTCTGCGGCAGAGGAGGAGGCGACGACGCTCTCTTGGGGGCCTGCATCTGCGGCAGAGGAGGAGGCGACGACGGGCTCTTGGGGGCCTGCGGCAGAGGAGGAGTTGACGACGGGCTCTTGGGGGCCTGCGTCTGCGGCAGAGGAGGAGGTGACGATGGGCTCTTGGGGGCCTGTGTCTGCGGCAGAGGAGGAGGCGATGACGGGCTCTTGGGGGCCTGCGTCTGCGGCAGAGGAGGAGGCAATGACGGGCTCTTGGGGGCCTGCATCTGCGGCAGAAGAGGAGGCGACGACGGGCTCTTGGGGGCCTGCGGCAGGGTAGGAGGTGACGACGGGCTCTTGGGGGCCTGCGTCTGCGGCAGAAGAGGAGGCGACGATGGGCTCTTGGGGGCCTGCGTCTGCGGCAGAGGAGGAGGCGACGACGGGCTCTTGGGGGGCTGCGTCTGCGGCAGAGGAGGAGGCAACGACGGGCTCTTGGGGGCCTGCATCTGCGGCAGAAGAGGAGGCGACGACGGGCTCTTGGGGGCCTGCGGCAGGGGAGGAGGTGACGACGGGCTCTTGGGGGCCTGCGTCTGCGGCAGAAGAGGAGGCGACGATGGGCTCTTGGGGGCCTGCGTCTGCGGCAGAGGAGGAGGCGACGACGGGCTCTTGGGGGGCTGCGTCTGCGGCAGAGGAGGAGGCAACGACGGGCTCTTGGGGGCCTGCGTCTGCGGCAGAGGAGGAGGTGACGACGGGCTCTTGGGGGCCGGCGTCTACGGCAGAGGAGCTCTGCAGGCTGGACCGGGGACAAAGTCTCTGCAGGCTGGGCCGGGGACAAAGTCTCTTGGAAGGGCTGGACCGGATACGGTTCGACCTCCGGAACCACCACTGGAACTGGAGACGGCGTCGACCACGGGACTGGAGACGGCAGAGACCTCGGACTAGAGGAGATGTCAATCTCTGGACTGGAAGGAGCGTCGACCTCTGGACTGGAAAGAGCATCGACCTCTGGACTGGAAAGAGCGTCGACCTCTGGACTGGAGAGAGAGTCGACCTCTGGACTGGAGAGAGCGCCGACGTCAGATGAGGCCCCAACGTCAGACGAGGCATCAACTTTAGAGGAGGCATCGACCCTTGGACAGGAAGAGCCGTCGACCCTTGGACAGGAAGAGGCGTTGACCCTTGGACTGGAAGAGGCGTCGACCCTTGGACAGGAAGAGACGTCGACCCTTGGACAGGAAGAGGCGTCGACCCTTGGACAGGAAGAGGCGTCGACCCTTGGACTGGAAGAGGCGTCGACCCTTGGACAGGAAGAGACGTCGACCCTTGGACAGGAAGAGACGTCGACCCTTGGACTGGAAGAGGCGTCGACCCTTGGACAGGAAGAGGCGTCGACCCTTGGACAGGAAGAGACGTCGACCCTTGGACAGGAAGAGACGTCGACCCTTGGACTGGAAGAGGCGTCGACCCTTGGACAGGAAGAGGCGTCGACCCTTGGACAGGACAGGGCGTCGACCCTTGGACAGGACAGGGCGTCGACCACCATCGATTTTTGGTCTGGAGGCGTCGACTTCTGGTCCGGGAGCGTTGGTTTCTGGTCCGGGGGCGTCGACTTCTGGTCCTTTGACTTCTGGACCGTCGACCTCTGGACCGGAACCGTTTGCTTCTGGTCCGGGGGTGTCGGCTTCTGATCAAGGGGCGTCGACTTCCGGTCCGGGGGCGTCGGCTTCTGGTCCGGGGGCGTCGACCTCTGGACCGCCGGCCTCTGGACCGGAACTGGAACCGTCTGCTTCTGGTCCGGGGGTGTTGGCTTCTGGTCCGGGGGCGTCGGCTTCCGGTCCTTCGACTTCTGGACCGTTGACCTCTGGACCGGAACCGGAACCGTCTGCTTCTGGGACGGAGGCAGAGCTGCTGCGGGAGGGGCTGCCTGGACAGGCTGGACGAGATGCGGGGCGTCCACCGGGGCCACCGCTGGAGCAGGCTGCGACAGAGCAGGTGGTGCTGGGAACTATGAGAGGAGGGAGGACAGACCGTCCAGCTGAAGCTCTTTGAGGCTGAGCGTCCGATGGAGCTGGGCCAGCTCAGCCCGGAGACCGGTGAGCTCTGCTGGGTGAACCCTGGGCTCGCTCCTCTGGCCCTGAGATAAGGAGGATAGAGCGTCCAGGCGGGATTCCTGGAAGCTGATGAGCTGGCGGAACCGGCCAAGCTCCGCCTGGAGACTGACGAGCTCGGTCAGCTAGGCTGCGGCCAACGCTCCTCCCCGTGTAGATGACGGAGGTGCCGATTGGGTCGGAGACGGAACTGCTGGTCTGACCGGGGGCTTGTCCAAGCTGCTGTGCCGAGCAGGGGCAGCAGCGAGCTCACAGCTCCGTCCCATAGGAGAGGAGCAGCCGCTGATCGGAATGCTGCTGATGCATCTATCAGTCAGGTAGGAGTAGAACCAGTTGAATGGTGACCCTTTAACTCTCCAGTCTACTCAGCAAATGTTGTGCTTGACTGTATCAAATGCAGCAGAAGGACCTAGTAGTAGTAGCAGCAGAACATGGGAACCAGTATCAGATGCAAACAAGATGTCATTTGGCACACACATTTGGGCAGATTCTGTGCTGTGGCTGGGCCTGAAACCAGACTGAATAAGGTCAAATAGGCACTTGTTCTCTAGATGAGCTGTGACTTGAGCGTGAACTATTTTCTCTAAAACTTTGGAAAGAAAAGGAAGTTTGGAAGGAAATTTTCTAAGTTACTATAATCTAGGCCAGGTTTTTTCAATAGCAGCTAAACGGCCGCCTGTATAAAGGCCACAGGAAACACTACAAAGGATGGGCTGTTATCGATAATGCTCAAAATGACCGGGTCCACTACAGGGAGGACCCCACAGGACAGTTTTGCAGGAAGGCAGTCCTCAAGTTATCAAGAGGTAAAACCATAGTTCTAATTAAAATAATTATTTTAAGCAATCTGGACTAGAATATTAGAAACAAAACCAGCTAAGATAAAAAAAAAATATTGACCTAAAACGTTGTTTCAGAACAATAAATGTACAGTACAAGGATACACAATTAATATGCGTTGTGGGTCCTTGCACACAGAAAAATGTAAAAAATCCAGGATGTGGATGGACAAGCTTAAAAACCCAAAATTGGCTTCACTGAAGGACTGGAAATGATCAGCTTAAAGACTGAAGGCAGAGAGGAAAATTATCTCAGCCTGACCCAAACAAATTCTTGTTATCTGAATCTGACACCCTGGTAGCCTTGAGCTGCAAGCAACTAAAACCCCCACGAAGGAATGCAGACAGATGCTGTGAAAACCTGACCCCCCCCCCCCCCCCGCCCCCCCCCCCCCCCCCCCCCCCCGCCTTTGGATTGGTGGACTTCAGCCTGGCGAGGTCATCAACTGGAGGAGTCAATGTGCTCTTTGCTTCTCCCAAGATCTCCCTCCCACCTGTGACTGTACAGTAGATGAGCGCCTTAGATGGCTGCTCTCGCTGGGAGAGGAGGTGTTACCCCCCCCCCCGTTAGCCAAACCAAGACCTCACCTCACTTGGCCAAGTAGCCAGGGCGCATGATCAATCGGGTCACAGTGAAAGGACACACACACTGTCATAGACGCATGGCATTCTGTCTCAATCTGCCCCCCCTTCTGATATTTTGCATTCCATATTCTGTGCTTCAGGGGGTGTGTGTGTGTGCTCGCAAGCGTGTGTGTGCGTGTGGGGGGTCTTGTTCTGTGTGTACGAAGCAGTACAAGTGATAATGCTGCAGGATTTCACAATTTTGTCCTTCTCAGCAGCAGCACTACAGGTGCTCTCCTTGTCCAACATGTGCGTTAGCCAGGTAAAAGTTGCGCACATTTTTCCGCTAAGTTTTCTTTTATAAATCCCGAAGTTTGCATGGAAAGTTGCTTACGCAGTTTTCCGACCCCGTTTTGTGTGTAAGCAAGCTCTATAGATGAGGCCCCTGGTTGTTCATCAGCTGTTCTCTATCCTGCTGACTCATAAAAGATAGACTGGTTAAATAAAACCAGCATCATTCTCTAATTCTTGGTGTCATAGGGGCAACCTCAGAGGTTCTGGTCCATCATCAGCTCCATCCATGAAGAGACTCTCCTGTTCCACCACATCCCATAGGTTCTGGACTGGACTGAGATCAGATGATTGTGGAGGTCGATGGAGTCCAGTGAACTCATGGTCACGTTCTAGAAACCAGTTGAAGATGATCTGATCTCAGTGACATGGTGGATTATTCTGCTGGAAGTAGCCATCAGAAAAAGGCACAACAGCTGATCACTGGATATTTTATACCTTTTTCAGACCATTCTCTGTGAACCCTGGATATTGTTGTGGGTCCAAATTCTGTAAGATCAGACCTTTCTGAAATACTCAGACCAATCTGCCTGGTACCAAGCAAATGCCAAATGGTTACACATGTTTAACCCTCTCAGGCTCAAAAAAAGCTTTGATGAAAAGACGAACAACTAAGTCCTTCAGCGGTACTTCAGAGTTAAAAAATGCTCATGAAATACTTGTGTGGAGTAACCAGGTAGGTAGGTTTTAACTGTTGCAAATCTGCAACGCCTGCCTCCAGAGGGGTAAAGCTATTGATCAGGTGTGCCAGTGGGGGGTTGGAGTTGGTTTGTTGACACACTGACTTATAAGATCAGTACCTCTCTTGGCGATGGCCATGGCGGCGGCTTTCCCAATGCCACTGTTGGCTCCTGTGATCATGACGGTACGTCCAGCCATGGACACGTCCAGGTCCTTCTCCACAAAGCGCTTGGAGGCTGACAGGAAGCCATTTCTGCAACACATGACCATTTGCTACATTACATCCCTTGTATCGGCTGCACATCACTGCCTCTGTGCTGTGTGTGTGCATGTGTGTGTGTGTGTGTGTGTGTGTGTGTGTGTGTGTGTGTGAGGTCATCCTGCTAACTGTAAGCTCCTTCACAATGTGAGGCTTGACTTATTCTTGTGTTACTGTACTGATACAATGAAGGAGAGAGTGTGCCTGGCATGTCTCTGATCAACAGCAGTTTGGGCGAGGCTCCTCACAGTGATCAGATCGTGTGTGTGTGTGTGTGTGTGTGTGCCACCAAGGATTTCAATCCCTCTTATTGTCTCAGATGCCATTGTTGTTGGTGCCTGAAGGGGGAATAAAGGATCACACAGGGGAGGGGGTGCTAAGGTTAAATGGCCCCTCTGTTCGCCGGTGTCATGCAGAGAGCTATTAGAACGGGGTCAGAGTGGGTTGCCAGGCAGCTCGCTGGGAGGAAAGATAACAGAACAAAGGAAAGGAGGGAAACAATCACAAAAGCAGCACTTCAGACAACTTGGCATGCTGTATACTGATGAGGACAGGCACCGTGGAGCTGCGACGGGTCAAATAATACCGATAAAGCTCTCAGAGCCCCTTAGTAGCTGAAAAACTGGTTTATGGCGCTACATGGCTCCTGCTGAGTCGCTGTGATCTGTACTTTGATTCATAAATCCATGACCTTTCAGCATCTGGTGTTCAATGATGCTGAGATAACCAAAGTAAACAGAAACATCATAATCAATAAATACATTTTGAATTAAATTACCGAACCTTAGCTGACATTAGAAAAAAAACATTTGCTATTGTTTTCATCTGATGTACATGTGAAGTTTTAATTAAACCTTCTTGTTAAACTGGTTCTCCAACACTACAAATGAAAGTTTTACAATAATCAATGCAAACAAACAGCCTGAATCTTAATCTGTAAAGACAGATTAGAAATAAAGTAATTTAACTCTATCTTCTGCATTTATCATTGGTCATCCTTTTTAATGTGCCAGGCCTGTTTCTATACACCCACATTAAAGACATTTTAAATCTGGAACATCAAAAATGCAGAGGAAAAACATTCCAGATTCAGAGGTCAGAGGACATTTTTTTTAATTAGTGTCAGTTAAAAATCTAATCTGGAATAAAAGCAGCAGAATAACCCTCACCACAGCAGCTCACAGATTAGGTCCAGAACTTACTTGGTGAACTCGGTCAGGCCTTTCAGGAACCAGGCGGAGTTACGGTACAGAGACATGGTGCAGGTCTGGAAGCCTCTGCTGGGACAGGTCCTCTGCGCTTCCTTTTACTCTGGTCACAAACCACGTGGAACCACTGGTCCACCGGCCCCCCAGTGGCAGCATGGAGAGATTCTTTCTTTCTTTCTTTCTTTCTTTCTTTCTTTCTTTCTTTCAGCTGATAGAGGGAGATATAAAACATGAGGTGCTCAAAAGGAATTACAAAACATATAAAACGTGCAAAGGATGTGTTCAAGTGCCACATAAGTGTAGGAAAATGGAGAACAGGAGCAGAAAAGCAACAATCAAGGGTAAAGAGGGAGTGTAGTGTGACGTACCAAAAGGTCCAGTTTTCACCGATACATTGATCAACATAATAACCTTTCATCCACAGCATGAATCCACTTTCTGTGTGGCCTTCTAAATCCAGAAGGTTCTGCTCAGCCCGTGTTGACGTTCCATGAAGACAAAACATTCAAACAAACATTCTCACCCAAGGTTCTTGCACTAACTGTGTGAACGCCAGACGTCAACATTCTTCACTCTGAATAAGTGAAGACTCCATGATGTTATAGTTATAAGTTAAATAATCATATGTGATGAATGAACAAGATGTTTAAATGAAATGTTTGTATAATCTGTGCTTAAATCAATGAATTTAAAATGAATATTGTTGTTACAATGATCCATTTATATTACAAATCAGTATGTGTTTGTTTAACAAGTTAATCATTGTTTACACTCATACACATTACAATAAGATACATATTACCCCTCTGGAGGCAGGCGTTGCAGATTATCAACATTAAAACCTACCTACCTGGTTACTCCACACACGTGTTTCATGAGTATTTTTAACTCAGAAGTACCGCTGAAGGACTTAGTTGTTCGTCCTTTTATCAAAACTTATTTCGAGCCTGAGAGGGTTAAGGTTAAAATGCACCTCACATAAAAGTAAAGATTATTATTAACAGTGTTAAAACATCTTTGTATCTGAAGGAAGGCGTGGCTTTCTGAGGGATGTTGGTAAACACTCAGAAATGTGTCAAATTCTGATTTGCCAAACTTGGCCAGAAATCATAACAAAAGTAGTTTAATAAAAAAAGAATTACTTCCTGATTAATTCAGGTTCTTGCTGACCCCACTTCAGCCAAATCGGGAAAGATGCATTTTTGAAACCATCTCCTTTGACCTCCTGTCAAAGCCTTTCTGTCAGTGGCGGTTCTACATGGAATTACTCCCCGGGCGAGGCCCCTTTGAAACCCCCCCAAGTTTAATGCTATTCTGCTGTTGAGGGTATGCCCTCGTGAGAAATTGCTGCAGTAATTTTCTTCAAAAGGCTGTGCTAAATTGCTTTGAAAAGCAGATATTAAACATCAGCGCCAAAAGACACTTCATCTCCCATGATGCTTTGCACACGGAAGCAATGTGAAGACGTCACCGCCTAATACCAGAAACACGTTCTGCACATGTGCAGGAGCTCATGGAGCTTTCCCGCGACTTCAAAGGCTATAAATCAACAACGGAACAAAGAAACTTTGTTCTTTTGCCCAGGATAACTGGCCGGTAAGGACACGCTCGTTGCACGCTCCGACTAACTTGAGCACGCGGGAAGTCTAAGTGCTCCAGTAGAGATCGAACACAGAACCGCTGGAAAGCTAAGCTACAAGCCCATCAGGACCTGACTGGGAACGAGCGGAGCTCCATCCAGCTCTCAGAAACGCTGTAAGTTGTCAAACTCACGGTAAACGCCAAAAACAGCGGAGAAAGCCATCAAACCGACGGACGACGCCAAACTGCGGAGAAACACGGAGAACCGTCAAATCAAACAGTGAGGGACGCTTCACTGTTCTGGTGATCAGAAACTCATCTCCCTCTCTCTCTCTCCTTCTTTCCTTCTTCCGTTTCCTCTATAGTCCAGAATAAGCAATAAAACCGCGCTATTGCTTAAAAGTAGCTTCGTGTTTTCCTCTTTCGTTCCCAAATACGTCCGTTGGGTCATTTTGAAAGAATAAACTGCTTATTGATCATTGTTTGGTATCTTTAAATGTTTTCTGCTATGGCCAAGTGGTTAAACTAAAAGATATTAATTCGTGATTAATCTTTGGTGAAGCTTCATGATCCTTTGAAATGTTTTGAGTGATTTAAGGTAAATTACTTATGATTCTAAGTGCCTTGGAAGTTAAAGTGCAAGTTGCCACCCACACTTTAGCCGGACAAAGGGGTCAGCCATCTTGTATACAGACTCCATTTTAGAAACACACACACACATACACACACAAAACACCTTGAACATTATTTTGAATATACATCTTCAATTATATCACATGGTTATTATTCATTTACTTCATTGTTTATTCATTTCACAAATTGTTTAATTAAATGTTATAAAATTCAGATTTTTGTCTCCAATAGATTTCTTGTGTCGATTTAAAGTCTCTGCTCCTCTGGTCCACGATCTTCAAGAAAGACTGATAAGAGTTTTGGATTCATTTCCCTTTCTAATTAAAGGGATGGTGCCCCGGGATATCTAAGAATATCTTAATTAATTAATAAATCAGTAAATATTCCCATATTTACAGAATTTATTGAAGAATCCAAAAGTAAGTTAAAACTTACTAATTATTCGCTCCTAATAACCCCAACATTAATTGGTGCCCCGTGTGAGGCGGATACACAGAGATTTCTATCCGGCACAAACAAACAAATAAATCCAAAGAGCTTGAATTAAAAATAATCAGTTGTTCAGCCTTGAACCAGCAACAGAGTGGTGCTGATTTCGCTGAGCAGGAAGCTGCATCGAACTCTCACCAGTAACTCAGTGCTTCTTTAAAGGTGCAACGTGTAAATTAATTCTGGTTGACCTTTTAGGTTAAAATTCAGTTTTACCTTAAAGGTGCAACGTGTAATAAATTCTGGCTAACCTTTTAGGTTAAAATTCAGTTCCTCATTAAAGGTGCAGTATGTAAGTGATTCTGACTAACCATTTTAGGCTAAAATTAACTGCAAATTTAGCGACTTTAACTCACAGTGGCTATTATAACTAACTGAAACCTTCACTCAAAGACTGATAACACCCTGTTTGCTAATATTCTGAAGGAATAACTAGCACATTTAACGCTGCAAGTGTTGTAAGACGTTGCTACAGCAACGCACCAGCTTTTGCTAAAATACTGAAAGGAATAGTATTTCAAGCGTCAGTCACGGCATTCCGTGCAATTTAAAAAACGCTAAAACCTGTGCGCACAAAGGTTAATTTAGTGTTTTCTGCTACAAAGCTAGCAGTTGCTGCCCAAAAGGTGCAGCTTTGAGCTATCTGCAGAAGCTCTACTAGGCTATTTTTGGTTCGGTTGTTAAAATGGAGGGACAGAGTAGTGAACTGACCAACTCCCAGCAACCAGGTGGCGCTGCGGCCCACGAATGTGAACCTGGCCTACTTTCTGGACGATTCCTGTCCAAACTGGCCGCGGTTGCTCGAGAACCCGACTACCCTTCTAGGGATTTCACTGAAGAACAGCTTGATGCTGTAATTGATCAAATAGAAAACCCGGATGGTACAAAACCAATCCAGATTCCCTTGGCTAAGTTAGCCCTGATCCTCTATCAGAGAGGACTCCAACATGATCAAGAGATCATGAAGCTCCAGAGCATGCTAGCTGAAACGCAGCAAAATGGAAGGCAGAAGGATGACGAGGAGGAAGACGAAACCGGCACAGATTCTGGGGAAGATGGGGAGGAGACCCCACCACCCTCTGCTGATGAAAACAGACAGTGGGAAGGGGGGAAACACCATGACTCTGAGGCTGAGCCAGAGTCCTCTCCCACACCAGTACGAAAGCAAGCCGGCAAAGCCAACCTGGGTCCGCCCAGGACGACCGGCAAACCGCAATTGGTTTCCTCCACCCAAGGAAGCGAGGGATAATCGTCCCGCCGTGAAGGTAGGCCACCTCTTTCCAAGGTACCTGGTAGCCTACCTCCTGATACATCTCCATACGATAATCGACAGTATGTGGTGTGGGACTCTCTGGACGGACGCACGCCGCAGGGGAGAGATGAAGCTTATCTGTCCCAACCTTCGGCCCCGTTCCCTACACACACTATAGGGCATTCAGGACCACCTAGGGGTCGAGGGCAGTTCGCCCTCGAACCCCAGGTTGGACCACCACCCTCATCTTCACGGCCTTCTCAGTCAGTGAGAAGTCGACCAGCTGAGCGGCACCTCTATTTAGACTGCTCCCCCAGTCCACGAAGGGTGCAAGGTGCCGATTGGGGTTATGCACCCCAACCTGCACCTCAACCATCCACCCATCCTAGCTACTCCGGTATTCTGCATGCCGATTACCAGCTGCAGGACAAAGCATCCTACGCTAGTCCGTACCCGGACAGAGCGTATTACGCAGAAGCCCCAGTTGAAAGACGCAGGCTGCACTAAGCAGACGTGCCCCAGGAGGAGGACCTCCCAAGATACCCACGTGACGTGCCAGCAGCCCGCCACAGCATGCCGGACCCCGATTTGGGCCCCAGGAGTCAACATTGGGAGCCCAGAGCACACCAGCGATATCCAGCGCACTCTGAGACAGACCGTGGGTCAGAGACAGAGGATGACGCGCCGTACCGTGAGTCAGGGCTCCGTGTACGTCAAATTGAATCGCTAGCTAAAGACCTAGAACGTTTTGATCCTAACACCAGTGAATCCAATGTCGACGATTATCTCAGGGAGATAGAACGTTGTCTGCTTGATCTTCCAGCACCCTCTTCAAGGGAAAAGCTCAAGCTAATTTGGAAAACCACATCTAGAACGGTGCATGGTTTCATGGAAACTCTACCACCTGACATTCGAGATCGGTACTCCTCGCTCTGCCGAGCGTTGAGAGATGAATATGCCACGTATGCAGACTCTGCGTCAGCTACAATGGGGGCCTTCTCCATCAAACATGGGAGGAATGAACCCCCCAGAGAGTATTATCGCCGACTCAAAAGTGCTTATTTCCAAGGTCGAAACGGCCCTGGGCTCGAGGAAGACCCTGCCTTCAGATCCCTTTTCATTCACAACCTGCACGAGTGTGTTCGCTCTGAAGTCTCAATGTATTGTCAGATGAAAAAACTGACAACTCAGGAGATTAGGATGTACGC